TGCAGCGACTGCGGTCGTGAGTCAGAGGTGACATTATTTTTAGCAGGTTCCCCTTAGTAGTGTTCAGACTGGCAAACGGAGGGGCGTTTGGAGCGTGAGCGCTGCGCGCTCGCCGGCTGCCTGCTCCGTGCTGACCGACCCCGCGTGCCGGCCGAGGGGCTGTGTTGCAGCATCCTGTGCAGCAGCTAGGGAAGGGGTATCAGCGCAGCTACGAGGAGGAGTGTGGGTGCCAGGGGGATGCACCGGAGGCACCTGCGTGCCAGCAATGCCAGGTTATTCCTGCGTGGAGCCAGTGGTGCTAAAGAGGAGACTGACTGCAGCATGGCAGCTGTGTGTCCGGGTCTGCAGCGAAAGCAAGGTTATTGAATCCAGGTGACACTGTGTAAGACGCGAGTGTTTGGTCCCAAGCTACCACTGCTCCGGCTCCAGCCTCACCTGGGTCCTCTAGGTGACCTCGTCCCAAGTAGCTCTGCCCGGGCTGCTTTTTTTTTTTTCCCCCCACAGAAGTAGAGTTGAAGTCTGATGATGTCACGTTCGGGGAGGGGGAGGGAAGAAAAAAAAAAAAGATAGATTGCAGTCCTAACGCAAGGAGGATGCAGCAAGCCACCGAGAGGGTCTCCTCCGTTAAGGAAGACGAGGAAAAAGGCAGAACCACTAGCAGAGTCTTTCTCTCCCTCCTGCTTCGCTCGGGAAGACACTCTGCCTTCTGTAAGCGGAGCTGCCTGTGTAATGCATTGCACATGGTGAGGTTAGAGCTGTTGTGCTTGCTTAAGGGACAGGCTGCCTTATTGCTAGAGGGCTGCTGCAAGGCACCGTGGAGACGTGCAGCCTCTGTCCCGCACCGACACAAACCGCCACGGCCAGCAGCGGACGGGCAGCTTGGACAGCACCGGGACGGCTCGGGGAGCCAATGCAGGGGGCGAGAGCAGGCGCTTCAGCTTTTTGAGGGAGTGAATGGGGAGGGGGAGGAGGGTAGTACAAGCAGTGATGTCATTTTTAACTGGTTCCTCTCAGAGCTGCTGAGTGAAGTTAGAGGAAAAACCTGCAATCCCAGAATGGCTCTCAGCCTTGACTGGAGGCTCTAAATGACTGAGGGTCCCCACAATGGTAATTCATTTTCTTTCCTATGCACAGCTGTTCTCGTAGACCTTTATTTTGGGTCAAGCGGAGGGCATTTCTCTTTCTCTCTCTCTCTCTCTATGCTTTCAGGGTCTGACTTCAGTTTTTGCCTCTGATTTGTTGAATACCTTACAGGTTATTTGAAGTTTTGCCTGGGTAGTTTGTGAATGTTTATCTGCTGTGTGAATCCATGTCATTACATGAGAGTTTAGGATGCAGCATTTTTGCTGGTCGTCAGGAAGGGAGATGCAGAGCCTGTCAAGCACAGAGCTCTCTCCACGGGAAATGTTGTACTTTTAAAATCACAGGTGGAAAGAAAAGGGCTCGACTGGCATTTGTGTCTGTAATGGATAGCATTTAATATTGATTGTGAGAGGAAGAAGGACTTGTAGTCAACTGCACAGATAGAAATGCATCTTGCTTTGGTGACAATTTCTTTTTTCTTGGTTGCCAGGTTTTTATTATGAGGCTTTTAACTCTAATGAAACTGAATGGAAAAATGGCAGCATAAGATGCTCTGACTGTTGGAGACAATATATGCATATATATTTCTTAATGGCATGCATTAACCGCTTGTGTGCTGCTCCTTCCATTGCACTTGCCCTGTTGCTGTCTTTCGTAGAAATCGGTGGACTGCCAGGCTGCTCCTTGGACAGCCGGCAGCACTGAGGCTCGTTCTGCGTGCCACTTCTGGGAGCCAGCAGCAGCAGCAGTCCAGCAATTTTTAGATAAATAAGGCTATCAAGATAGGTCAAGAAAGGGTAAAATGGCTTAGCCAAAATGGCAGACAGGGAAGAGCATCCCCTGTTTATATTTCCAAGTATTTGGCTAATGGTGTTACTAGTGCAGTTTGGGTTTGTGCTTGTTGTGGTGCTGTTTGGTCCGAAGGCAGAGGCTGTAATGCTGAGAGTCCAGCTGGCTGTGGAAGTCATATTCCTCTGGTGTGCCTCTACTTTGCCAATGGTAAGACTTGCTTGTCTTCTCACTGAAGGCAGCATCTGAGATATCTGAGGAAGCCAGACCCTTGTTTTGCTTACTAAGAACTTGGGACATGTATGCGATAACCATATGGCCTCTGTTGTAGCCTATTATGGCAGCCGTGAGTCCAAAGCTGGGAGATAAGGTTTCAAGAATGAGAGAGGTAGGCTAGAAATGGGAACATCATGACACCTTCCGAATATAAAGCGTTCCTTCAGGAGAAGGATGGTGATAAAGGCTTGGGAAACCCATTGCTCCCCCTGAGAAAGCTCTGAATGAAGAGCATTGGGAGGGATAAGGCTCTCTTGTACCAGCTATTGTGAAGATGCTGGCAGTGGCCTCAGAGGTCATTTTGAACTCCTTCGCCTTCAACATGCCATGGTGCAGAGGGAGAGTAAATCTGGTAACCTCTTTCTTCTTTCAGTCCTCCCAGCATTAGCCTTAGTGTTGGTATATGTAATTCAGAGCCAAAAGCCAGGCTTTCAAAGTGACATGTTCATATCAGTCTGGTTTTCATCCAGATATATGCTTGCCTGTCACTGATAGTGCTTCTGTGGGAGCAGTATGCCTGGCAGGTGGAGGGAACGGTTAACAGGCTGTACTGAAGTAGTCAACATGGCATATGGAGGCTTTCCATCTCTTTAGTGCTAGGCTGAATTTGCTGCTGTGCATAGGGAGCTTTATTCTCCACTGATTTTAGTGTGGCACCCTCCACCAGCAGGAAATTAAAGCATTTAAGAAAAAAAAGAGCAAAGAACTGTGAATCTGGAGTAAGCATTACTTCATCCACCTCATTTGAGGGCTGAAATATTCCCCGTGCCTGGAGAAGTGCAGGGCTCTAGTTCTGCTTGTTTATTTCAGCTCAGTTCATCTGAGGTGAGAAATTGCAAATTCATGGCACTAGAGAGGCAGTCCGCTACCCAAAGATCAGGGGAGCTGCGTGTGACTGCAGCCGGCATGCCCGCTTCTGCAGGCTACCCCCACAGGAATCAGTCGACTTTGCAGCAGGGAAGGTTAGGAAGGTCTTTGCAAGCGCAAACAGAAATGAAGCACTGGGACAGGCAGCCGACAGCTTTTGGGAATCTCCTTCTTTGAAGCTTTCTAAAAACAGATAAGAATAGTGTTGGGGTGGTCTAGAAATGCTCAGTCCCACTTTAGAGCAGCAAAATTAGGCTTGGCTTTGCATTTTGATCTTCTTAGCACAGACTGAGTCACGCTTCAGTCAAAGTTCACTATAGGAAGCGTTTTCTGTAACTGAGGGTGGATGCCTCATTTGCTGCCCTCCATTGCTGCAGCAGTATGACCTAGCCCCGCAGAGGGTCCCGCCACCAAGGAGAACAGAACAGCTCAGTCTCTGAGACCATTCAGCTGTAAAACTTTCTACTGATACAGCAAAAGTGTCACTGCTGTGTCTGTGGTGGACGTGGTTTTCAAGAAATGGGAACCGGTGTGCAGAAGTGTCTGCAAAGAGGACAAATGTTGTAATTGGTAGAAATACCTCTCTGGACTTTGGTGGGCTTTGGGTCTCACCACTAGTTAGTAACTGTGTTCACTTACACCACAGACTGGTCAAAAGTACACTTAGTTTGGAGTAGTCTCTTGGAGAGGGTTGAGGCAGTGGAGTATGAAGGGAAGAGACTTCACTTGAGTGATGCAGTTGACGGCTGCCCAGGAACTGCTACGTGGGAACACATTTTTCATATTGTAACTCTGACACGGCATGACTTTCTGTCTACAGCATAATCCATCTGTATGCTTACATGATAAAATTTACTTACTGTTCCCGTTATTCTCAACTCGCATGGTCTTCTCAGGAGGGAGCAACATGAGCTGCATGGGGGTGAACTCAAGCCAACATGTGTGTCCAAGAGGGTATTTTACAGTGCATGCGATGAGGATCAAAGCTGTAGAAAGAGATAACAAAGGAGTTTAAGGCTCAGTACCCAAAGCCCCCACAAGATCTGAGGAAGTCACTTTCAAGGGATAGGAACACATCTGTCCTAAGAAAGGATCCTCATCAGTGCTGCAGAAAAAGTAAAAATAACTCATGGTCCTTGTGAGTATGTATGGGGGAGGAACAAAAGAAAAATTTCTTCACTGTTCTAAATTTAGCAATGAGTTCAAGTCTGTGCATGTGACCAAGAAACACGAAGGTCAAGCATCTAATTGTATTTATGCCATTGCCATCCAAGTAATTATCTTTTCTCCCCTGGCATTTCAATAGGGTAAAACTGAAGTGGTTTTGGACTGCTGTAGTCTGGTAAGTCAGAAACTAGGTAACCTCAGTGGCTCACCTACTGGGCTGTCTCCTCTCATTTGGGCTCTGTTGGTAGAGTAGGCAGTGGTTGTGTCCCTCTGGGATTTTTTTTTATAGGCTACATATTTGAGTTTGGAAAAGTACTAGTAATCATATCAGTCTGGGAAGCAACAGGAGTAATTCCCCGTCCAGCAGTATTTCTTGGTAATAATGCTTGATCGAAGTGATGAGATTTCCAACTGTGCCCTCATACTACTGAGTGTGGAGGATGGGAGCAGGATCAAATATATCACTGTAACAGCACATGGTAAAGAGGGATGATTCTGGTCTGCTGTGATACATGCATGCGTCCTAATGTCTGCAGTCATTTTGAGGAAAAAAAGATCTTAGCTAACCTAAGTGGAGAAACAGCTATTTTGTGCTCTGTGAAGTGTGCAGACAGGAGGCATTTAGGTGGTGGCTGCCTATATATGTAGGACTCTACCATCGTTGCAGGCATGCAGCATCCTTTTCATTCAGCCTCGTAACAGCGAAGCTCTTAATGCCAGAAGATGTCACTGGAATGAATCAACCACAAGGCTATTCTTAAGAGTGTTCTTAAAAGCTATCAGTTAAGATGAACACTAGAACTATCTGCTGAAATCTGAAGCCATTTGGTGACCCTCACATTTTGAGAACCCTTTGGAAATAACTGTAAAATACTGTGCTGTTTTCTGCCAGTATTTGAAGGGGAAAAGAAAACACGATTGGAGAAATGACTAGTTCTTTACAATATCCTCTCATTTTGGGAAGGAGCAATATTTTATTCCAGGTTTACACAAGGCGTCATTCATCTCTTAATGATAATAGCAGATAATCTTCATAATAGTGATAACCTTCATATACAGCTGCAGATTTCAAAATTTTCCCTGGGTTTGGTCACAAATTTCATCTGATGGCGTCATGAGTCTGTTTTTTCATGTCCCTGCCTATTTACCCCTACATAACCTTACCGCTAGTTATCAGAGCTCAACTTTTTGTAAGAAGAAAGGTGATGCACCAATGTCAAAATATGCAGATTGACATTTAACAGTTGTACCTCAGCTCTCATGTACCTGACAATTTTTTTTTTTTTTTGGCACAGCACAGGCAATCAAAATTTATCTTCCAAATTAAGACTGTAATTATATTTTGATAAAGATCTGGCAATTCAGTGAGAATGAAATTTTAAGGGTTGCTGGGATACAGATGACTCTGGGTTATGGGGAAGCGTTTGCATGTGGAATACTAATAAGCCAAGGTTGCTCAGCGTCCTTATCTAGACTTTTCCAATGGTGTCTGATAACACAGGCAATCAAGTGCTTGTTTCTTTGCTATTATTCTGGCAAAGTGATTAAAGATACAGGCTGTCTTTTATGAATGAAAAGGTGACATGCTCAACATGAACGACCACAGATATGTCCCTCTGTTTGATGCACAAGAAAATTGGAAGAATAGAGTACCAATCATGTCCTTATTACCGAACCAGCCAAAGTCAGCCTGGGCTTGCTTCTCTGAGGTCTCTCTTTGTCTCAGCGAAGGCCCAGGGCCTTGGCGGTGCCATGATTTCCTCGGAGAGTGGGAGGAGTGAGGCCAGGCCGTTCCTGGGCAACATGAGCCCTGCCCAGGATCAGGGCTGCTGGGAGCCCTCCTTTCACTGTGCTGGGTCACTGGTGGACAGCTGGAGCTGGAGGGAGTCAATGATTAGCCCGAAGTGATCAAATAGATCCGGGCA